GGTACCAATCTTTCAGCTTAAAAAATGATGGGATGCGACAAACATTCACCTACTTCTGTACAGCAAAACGGTTTCAAACAAAAGGGTTCCAGTTTTGGGTACTTGACTGGTGAGGCGTTTCACCCATATTTCGCATCATATCAGCACCATAGTACGGCTATATTATGAACGATAAAAGATTACTAGTGATAGGGAAAGAAAACTTGCCTTTGCGACAGTAGACGAAAAAGGATTGTTCCATGCTACATTAGCTGCTTGAGTGTATCGAGGTGCATTAGTAGCCATGAAGTTCGCAAGCGTTACCACCGGACCACCATAAGACTGCACAAGAAACGGGTTTGGCGCAAGGTTAGCTGAAAGAGCAAATTTAAGTAGGAATAACTGTGTCCCATTCCTGCCAGTTTTACAAATTGTTTTATAATAAGGTGTAATTTATAAGGAGCAGAAACTGCAGGCATTCTATTATGTTCTTAGAAAATACAAAATAAATCTTGAATTTCAAGATTTTAAAACTAGCAAGAAGCAGTGATTGTGAAGCCAGCTAAGTGAATAGAAAGAATTAAGGACGGAATTCGCTGTACTTACCAAACGAATTCGAGAACGTCTGTTGTTGAATACTGTCAAATGATGCAGGATTTAGCGGCATAGTAGTCGCTCCTACTTCAGCAATGGCTCCAAGTGTATTGCTCTTTGGAATAGAACCGTATGGATTAGGCGCAAGTTTTGGTTGCGAGTCGCTAAAGACAGGAGTATGATGCGATGGAGGAAGGCCGGTGGAGAAACCTGCAAAGTTACGGATGAATTAAAAAAAAGAAGAATATATTTGAAACCAGGATAGCTCACTTAAGACAAATATCTGACAATCTACATCCTTTGGGGAGATGTGTAAGAAGAATTAAGATAACTATATCGTAATGTGACGGTACCAGTCGCTTTTGCAATGACAAATTTTCATCCTTTCTCAAAGGAATGATACACCTTGCAGAAGAAATCCCCAGAATGAAAATAGACTTCAAAATAAAGCCGCAATTATACTTCAACTAGAAAAAGTTCCGCACCTAGGTTCACTAAAGCCAAAGCTGCTCTGAAGACTGTAAATTTTTACTGGTGAAGAATGAATACAAAACAGTCCTGAGAAACACTTACCACTCGGAAGCCACGTTGGTTTTTCTCCACTAGGTAGGCTAGGATTGCTGCCGTGGTGGAACATCTGAAACTCAGATGTCAAACAAGCAAAGGCAGTACAAACTTCTAAATTACAACCAATTTAGACAAAAAACTAGGATCGAAATGGTATAAAGCATTCTTTTTTGAACACACTCTAATCTAGATATATTCAACAAAATACAAAAGGATATAACAATGAAGAACATCTTATGAGCAACGAGCGTTCAAGAAATTTGAGTTTACCTGGTCAAGTTCTGCGAGTGCACTGTATTTATCCCTATCGTTTGATGTACTGCAGACTGGAATGGGTTCCGAATTGGGTGGCATATTAACTGGCTGCACTGTGGAAGGTACCTGTAGTTTACTTATCATTGTTCGATTAATTATATGAAAATGAAATAAGGAAGATACTTCATTGGAAAATGGATTCGTTGGATGAGCAGAAGCAGGCTGTTGCATATGCAATGAAGAATTCACAGTTGCTGATTTTGGAAGCGGCTGCGCTAAAAACTATGCATTAAGTTTAAATCTGAAGACTGACTGCTTAGAATCCAAAGCAATTCTCCCGACATGAAAAAACTCATTGTGGTTGAAATAATATTTTAGGCTTGAAACGCATTATTTGAAACTCCAATGTAATCGCTTCCCCCATTTAAAACAAAAAAAAAAACAAAATGACCTTTAGCTTGACAATAAATCTTAAAATGTTATATCCTTGCGTTCTAAGGAACTGCTTTACTTACGCGGCAAAGAAGATCCAAACGCGTCAACAGTTGAGGAGTTTTTCAACGCAAGCTCGCTGAATTTGGCATCAAAATCTGCGAATGGATCGACGACAGGTGCGGTGTTTTTCGAAGCTCCAGATTCAAATGGTTTAGGGACCTTCAAAAGAATAGCGTATCCCTGACAGAGAGTTCATAATACTTTTATATACCTGCGAAGTCAGACCGCCGCTTTGAACAGGGGATTTAGACGGCAATGGAGGAGGCGGTGCAGCAAACGCTGGAGGAGAAAAAGGTTGTACAGGAATGGAGCTTGCCTAAACAGTTACGCCGGATGTGAACTTTTCCAACATAAAAAATATCTTGAAATATGCAAAACAAATGACAACAAATTATCTGTCAATTCATGTCATGTGTCAATAAACAGTAATCATTATTAGCCAAAGTATTCACAGCCTGCTTCGGAGAATTCTCAGTAAGCTGCTGAACAGCTGACGGACGAGTAATTGGCGGTCCAAACGCTGCAAAGGGGTCTGTGGCAAATAAGTCCAAGTCAGGTGGCTGAAATGGGAGATAATACCCATTAATTTCATTGTTAATCGTTGAATCAATAGAAATCTTGCAGGAAAAGAAAAGAAAGAGGAGGCAGATTTATGATGATGCAGCCCATTTTACTTGCACCTACTGAGGAAAATTTTTGGGGAAACTTCAAAGGACCTCCTAAGCGTTTCTTCTGGATAGACGAGCCTAACTGACAGCAGTGGGAGAGTGCCAATTTGTAACGACAATTTAGATAAGCAAACACAGGAGAAGTTTTAGATGTCGTAAAAGATGACTACCTTCGAAGATGAGCTACCACCACTCTTTACGCTGGTGCCAGACTGACTAGCTACTTCCTTTGCTTGATTCAAGAGTCGTTCCTGCTCTTCAAGTTCACTTCGAGAAACATACCATTCTTTCTTTTCGTATTTCTAGAATAAATCATAGTTCTTCGATGAGCAAGCTTATTTTTGGAGAAATCCACCTTGATGAGAAAAGCAGTGATTTCATCCTTATTTGTCATTTTTGGCGGGCTACCAGAATACAAACCAAGCCAGGTATGTGAATTCTCTTCGTTACCGAGACTACGAACTCGTTCAATTTCCTCGTTTGTGAAGTTAGCCATGCAGATTGACTTGACTCTGTGGGGTGGATTTAAGCCACGTCTAAAAGAATAGAGAAAAAACATGATTTAGCATTGAAAATAAACGTATGGCTAATACTGACAAGATACCGGAGCAGCTGGTACAACAAAAAGATCCATGTGTGACGTTTACGTAGGTCGGACCACGTTGTCCACATTCGAAACAGAACCGATTTCCAGGTAACGATGCAAGTTCACTGAAAGAGTTAATTACAGCGCAAAGCCATTTGCTCGTATATTTTCACATGACAAGATTTCCGTGTGCCGTTATACACGATTTGCGGAGGGTAGATGTAATAATAACTCAAAAAGGCTCGTTTAGGTTTAACAGTTGAAATTTAAGGGTTTCAAACAAATTCCACTTCAAACGGTTATTTATTTAAAGAACAAAATTTTTAAAAAACCGATGGGCACAATCATGTATTGCTAGGTGGCACACTGGCTTATATGACAAGGCCTTAACATGTTCAGCCAGTCATCTCGAAGAAGCCGTATTTCATGTAATAAGAAGTGGAGGAGAAGATCTTCCTACACAAATTGAAAAAAAAGGATATCTGTTACATAACTGAGGACATGAAGATGCCACCATTTTGGATTTTAAAATTACACACCACATTCCATGTTCGGCTGTTGTTTTAAAAGTACAATCTCGTGGCAAAAACAAACTACTGGAACCAGTACAAGTCCTATCATCACGCTCACGTATACGGCACAATTACTAAAAAAAATTTCGAGAAAATTTCAAAACAGTCAACCTACAATAGAAACCACATGATAACGTCATTCAGTGTATGCAAGTATTGAAACCAACTCTTCTTCGTGGATAAAAAGGAGCAAATGGAAGCATTTCAGTGAATTTTTTAAATTAACAAGACTTTGTGTGGATTACCCGTTTTGAAGACTCTCTATTGTTCGTGCATTAATGCAGTATGGTTTGCGTCTGTGGTCAGTGGTCCAAAGTTTAGAGTAAATCAACTCGTTTTTACATACAACAAAACATGACATACAGAATTTCTAAGTAAAAGGAAAAGAAAGGAGCTGTTTGAAAGTTATAAAAACGAGCTAAGCTTTTCAATGTATAATGAGTTATTACTAAGTGCCCATTGGCCATATCCAAATTCCTATGCCAGCTGAAATCACACAGTTTCAGGGAGTGCTGGCAAATAAAATACGTATCAGAAGAATAACCATTTGTTTAATCTCACTACTGGAGAAGGCATTTTGCATCTCATACCGTAAAGCACGCAGATTCTTTTCATCTTGACGTTTCTTCTGAGCACTCAATGTAGAACCCGAAGACGAAACATGTGGTGCATTCACCATCTAAAAAATAGTACATCAGTGATTTGAAGATTAGGCATAATATTAAAAAACTGAAAAATTTTGTTGGCCTAAAAGTGAATGAGCAAAAAGAAAGTGGGCAAAACTTAAAAAGGGAATGGCTGAGTCAAGCAAGTTCAAGCATTGCCTCATTACTCAATAGTCACTTTGTCAAAGATCTTACAGAATTTGTCGATGCTATTAGAGCAAAGCAGTTTTACATTGACAGCGAATGCAACTGCAACAACGCTTCAGTATTGGTGTAGAGCGAAGCGAAATAATTCCTAGAGCAGAAACAAAAACTTAGCAATTTTATGTATTCAGTGAGAAATTTGGAGCCTATCTCATCTCCAAATTCTATATGACGGGCATGTTTACATGGAAAAAAAATGATGGATACGCACACGAACTTGGACGCAAAATGGGTAATTTTTCCATCG